TCTGTGTGCCTTTATGAAAGGGGGTACCTAGATGCAGATGAGCCCCATACCTGCAGACCCCCACAACCACCGGGTCACGGTGGCCTGGTATGGTGTGGGGGGCGCTTGCTCATCCCCCCTTCCCTATCCTGCTAGTCTGCTGCCCGGATTAAGGGTCTGCTATGGGATTTTAGGGGGTCCCCGTGTTTTTATTTCTGTTTTCATGGCGTGGGGTCCCCCTTAAAACCCCTACCATACTTAGTGATTGGTATGAATTGCCATAGAATTGCATGCTTTTTTTTTTTTACATCAGGGTCCCCCCTAACATTCCTACCAGACCTAAAGGGTCTGGTATGAATTGTTGGGGGAACTGCTCTCTGTTTTTTTTTTTGTTCCTGTGGACTGCCAAAGGTTAAAAAGAAACAAAGTAAACAGTTAATTTCACTTTTCTGTAATGATTTTTAAAAAAATATATTTTTCTTTTAAGGAGCTGCAGAAAAAAGTTCCAAGCATGGAGCAGAGGACAAAACACAACATATAATTATGGCAATGAAGGAAAGAATGAAAATCAGAGAAAGAAACTGTCCAGAAGTTTTTGAGCTTATTCAGGAGCTTTTCCAAATATCCAAAGAGGACTTTGTGCACCATACCAAGGCAGCCAAGCAGAGTGTTTTGGATGGAACATCAAAGTGGTCAGCTAAAATCAACATCACAGGTGAGACAGTAGTTCTCTTTAGATGTACATTTTGTTAAATAATAAAACAAATGTACACGATTATAACAAGATATAAAAAATCAGCGTTTAGATCAGACTTTCAAATATCCACCAACATTTTCTTCATAGCCAGCATTTTAAGACTATTGCCTTTTAAAAGTAAGCATTCCATGAGCTATTTACGAGTTCGACCAATGCTGCTCATTTTCTAGCATTTAAACAGCTTTTAGACACCTTTCAAACTAATGATGGTAACCTAATGCCAACAGTTTTTTGTATTTATAGTTATATGGCTGGGATGAGGAGCGCTTCCATTAATACATGTGATCATTTTGGAAAACTAATTTCATATGTATCAGATTGCTAGAAAATTGTAGTATTTGTAGCCAGGATAAGTCCACCCAAACTTGCTGAAGGCTGCTATCCAAATGTATAATTAATAAAAAGACAGATCTGAGCCAGGTCTCCGCTTTCCTTTTATTTTATTTGTTTAACAACGTAACGGTAGAGTACCTACAAGAACAATCGATTAGTAACCATATCAAGCTGGTATAATTGGGCTACAGATACCCATTGTAACTTATGTTCAGCCAAAGTTCAATGCCAGTGAATGCATCTGAGTTCCTAGCTTTTTTAGTTTAATCTTTTCACTATATTTACCTGATTACTATGTTGAAATATCCAACCTTCTATTTGGCTTTAGCTGGCTGTAAACATTTAAAGGCAGTCGGAAAAGCATGCAGGATCCAACCACTTTCAAGGGTACACATTATATGAGAACAGCATAAGCTGACCAGTTCACTTCAGTAAAAGATGGAAGGAATGAGTGATGGCACAGGAGAAGGTGCTGACACTTCTTAATAGACCAGATGACTGCCAGATAGCAGAAGTCTGGTTAGGAGAGGACATAGCTTAGAACAGGTACCCACCTTACTGTTTTAGCTCCAATCCCTGTCATTCATCTGCCAAGTGCCAGAACTTCAGTGGACAGTTGAATGAGATAGAGTGGTATCAGGAATGGTTGTAAGACTTAATTTCAATCTGGGTAGAAGCTGAGGCCCAAGTACAACCTGCTCCAAGGTCCTATAAGGTCACAATAATTGAATGCCAGAATGGGGACTTGCAGGCACCCCAAGTTACTTGCACCTTGGCACTGCTATAACTTTACAAACATTTTAATGGGGGTCATGTTCATTATGAGCAGTCAGTTAGCACCTAGAAAATATACCTTTTTATATGAGATGTATCTGCTAAACTGTGTTGGGAGCCCCTTCAGACAAGGGTTTGCACATTTTTATGAAAAATGCTTTCTTATCTTTATTACTGTACGTTCACAGGTTTGGATCTTATTACACAGAACACATTTTACAGACTACAATTCAAAGTATTTTGATTATTTTGCAGTGGTTTGTGCTCAGGGGTTACAAGCAAAAGACAAAACAGGCTCAAGCGACCCTTATGTGACAGTCCAAATTGGGAAAACCAAGAGACGAACTAAAACCATATTTGGAAACCTAAACCCATCGTGGAACGAAATCTTTCACTTGTGAGTATCTAATCTCATAATGAAGGCACTGTTTACAAGTTCTCTATCTGCTTACTAATAAGAGCATATGACAGCCTTTAAGAATCCATTACACTGTTAATCCAATACAATGTCATTGGGTAGTGAATTATATTGAACAGTCATTTATTAGTGTCTTAAATCTTTCGTTCAATCAATGCTATTTTACTGTACAACAGTAGTTGTGGTTAGCTGATAAAGAAATACTTGTTCTATGCACAGATTTAGTAGATGAAAGGTCACACTTATCTTTTCTTATCCTGGAAGGTTACATCAACCAAGAAAATGGTACATGTTTCATTATAGATAGGTAAATAGGTAATAGGTAATTAATTAGATCATTAAGTCATATTGGTTTAGCCTATGTTCTAATGTAGGTCCCCACATTGCCTATGCATTGGCCAAATTACTTACAGAGGTGACTCACAGGGTCCGGCTTTATCTTGTATTAGTTAGCAGAGATGCTTATACTTTCTGATAGTTTGCATTATGAGAATAAGCTGTAATAAAGTCAGAGGCTCACCCTAGTCACCAGAACATATGGTCATTTACAAAACTGTCTACGGAGAAGACACTGTCAGGCATTGTGCATTTTTGTTACCTGTCTGCAAAGCCAAATTATGTATTTATATTTTTTACTTAAAGTGACTCTGTTGCTAAAATAGAAAGTTTGATAAATGTGACTCCTCTCATCCTCGCTCTCTGCCCACACCACCAATTGCTGCTGTATTGCACAGCAAACATCCCTTGAAATGTTTTCTGAATATGACACATCTGAGAGGGCTAGATTTCTGTTCCCTCCACAATGCTATGTGGTTCCTCTATCTGGCACCTACATGATGTGTCATGTTGAAACTTAAGATTTGGTAGAAGGAACACCAGCATGTGGCAGGGGACCATGAATCTGATGTGTTGGATTCAGAAGATTTTTCTTTGCAGTAGGGCAACCATCGGGGACACAGGCATCAGGAGAGGTTTTTATCAAAGCTCCCCCCCCCCCCCAAAACTTCCCATAAAATGCATTTATTGCTCAAATTGTCCTGTGGGTAAGGCGTCAACAGAAACACATGTTTTTTATTTCTCACTCTTGCCGGCAACATACAAACATACAATTAACTCTTGCTGTATGTTGGAGGAGGTGGCAGTAAGTAGTCATTTTTAATTGCTGAATGGAGTTCAGCTTAAAATGGGAACAATTTTTAGACTTTACATTTTAGCAACGGGACTCATTAGTATTAAGCTAAAATGTTGTGCATCAAGCATTTATTCCAAACCATACATGCAGACATCTTACTCTCAAAACTCTCACTGATGCAGTACCAACTAAATTTGCATGTTTTTAATGGGTATCATCGATAAACAAGATAGTGTCTGAAAAAAATACAACCAATCCAGTTACCCTTCTTTAAAAAGCATTTTATGGGTTTTGCTGGTCCCTTACATTTTAAAACAAAAATGTTAATTTGTGGTACACACAAGTGAACTGAGTTTTTACCTTGGAGTCTCACCAGAGAGAGTCTCAGTATTTCTGCTGCATTCTACATAATATAAAAATCATGACAAATTTAGTGAGAGGAAGACCATATTGTATCTTGGATGCATATTTCTCAACAATGGAAGATTTAGGATAGCCCGACACATTTAGGTAGCTATAAACTTTAGAATTAACATCTTAAGATGTTGAAGATGCAGATATTAGGTAACAGGCAAGCTTTAGGTATGAGTACCACTAGTCTTTTTGTGATACAATTATAAGCATGGTTTTGATCGTGGTAGTTTAAAATATTTCAAGATTTAGATAATTTATTTGAATAGTTAACTCAGTAGATTAAAATTGCAGGCTTTCTAGACTTTGTGACTACACTATACCTAAAGAATTGAGCAAATATTAGGTATCAATTAACCTCATGTTTGCATATTGCTGATAGCTGACATGCTACAACAATCTACTATGAAACCAGTATACAAGCTAGTATAATGAAAAGCTATCAAGAAAGCGACCTTTTATTTGGTCCAAAAATACTCTTTTTGTGCATCTGATTACATGACCAGACTCATAAAAGACGGTAAGATTATAGATGGGCATATAAAAACCAAAGCTGTTAACATGATAAAAAAAAATTGGAAAACATGCATGATGAACCTGATACTGTAAGGTCAGACTGATAGATATACGCGATGAGAGCATCATCAGGACACATGCCTGGAAAGCATATGCTGACTAGTAGCTGTCATGGTGAAAGATCATTTGCTGGAAGCTAAACAAGCTAGAGAACAACATGGTGCAAGTTAGAGTTCCAGAAACTGAATATATATAAAAAAGTAATTAGCCCCATGATACAAATAGCAGCCCATGATCATAACGGGGTAAACATGATCATAACGGGGTAAACATATCAGTATGGTAATATGCTCCAAGAGCTAAGACCAGAATCTAGCAGTTCTCTGTTGGTGTGCTAGTAGTTGACTAATTATGCATGTTTTAAGTGGATGTATAAAGGTGGTAAGACCTGGTTGACAGAGGTGATAACAGAATGAATCATGATCATCCTGTCATAGCTGCTTTCATAATTGGTCATGCATGACTAATCATGCTGCCTGCAATTAAAAAGAAAAGTTCAATACAATTGAATCGTTTTTTTCTCTGCAGAATATACAGTAAATATAGTCCCATAATAACTTGACATGTAATTTTTTAGTTTCTCCAGAAGTACCTATACGGCATATCCATGGATTGCATTTTGCAGTAGCAAAATGTGTATTCTGTGAACTGGCACCATTCCGTGGCTGTAGTTAAAGAAAAAATACCTTGTATTATTTTCAGCTTGGTCACCTAACTCCCATAGCGTGTGTTGCTTTTTATCCCATGTTTCTGTGTGCTGTAGAAAAAAAAGTTAGACTTTGACAGTTCACTCCTCTTCATTCCTGACCACGCTCTACAAAGGAGATGCCTTCTTGATTGACAGCTCATATCTCATCCCTGCTTTTCCCATCCCAAACCAAGACTCCCCTTCCAGTTCTAGTCCTGTGTTGATTCCTGTGTAAGTGTGCCACCTGCCTCTGCATTCCTGTGACCTCAATGTGTTTGAAAAGTGCAGGGACAGTGAGATGAGATTGGTCAGTCAAGAGTGTATCTCCTTTGCAGAGCCTGGTTGGGAATGAAGAGGAGTGAGTTATCAAAGTCTGTACCTTTTTTCCTTCTACTGCACACAGAAGCATGGGATAAAAAAAAAAACAACAACATACAGTTTAGGAGTTAGGGGACTGATCTGTGAAAAATAATACAAGGTGAGATTTCTTCTTTAACCGTGGAAGACCTAAAACGAGCCTGTTAAAAGATCTATAAAGCCCTAAATACCCAGAATAGTTTGCACCGACTGGTACTTGCATCCCAGCATGTAGATCACCTAGAAACTCCAAAACCCCAGCTGCTCTTTAATGCACTGCTTATATTGTTGCTCTTTTGGCCCTGTCTGCTTTCTCTACTCATAGCTGTGATAGGTGGCCTCACTAAGCATTAGTAATCAGCAGAAGGGGAAGAGGGTAGGGCCAGAGCCATCAAACCTGGCAGGTTAATACAGTACAGAATGGCCTGAGTTTTGTTGTGCCTGGGCACTGTACAGGGAAATGAAGTGAGGGAAATGAAGTGAGAGTGCAGCATAGTAAACTGTATAGTAAACCCTCTCACATGTTATTAGAGATTACAGACAGAAAAATATTTAAATTGTGTAATTAGGCACTTGCATGAAGTTCATATTCAGCCATACAAACAACTTTTAGACCTGTTTTGTCATTTGCTTTCTAGTTAAGAATAACATACAAAAATAATGGTATTCACTGGACTCAAATGGAAAAGGTGGCAGTACTCTGAATCCTTCTTTGAAGTTACATAATAAAAATCAGTGCATTACTGGGAGTTAACAGGTCTTGCATCTCCAAAACAGGCAGAGGAAACCTTAACTGTAACAGCAAGAGGAAAAACAAAAAGGGCACAAATGACTTGGACAAACAGGGCTCAAATATTAAAGATACGAGCTAAACTCACAATGTTAGATATAGCCTTCAATAACCCTGGTGAACTGGATATAATCTAGTAACCACTGGCAAGGACTTAGGAGTCTCTGATTGAAGTTGATACCAGGTTACAGGGACTACACAGCTGAAATGTGCGGCCTGAAATCCCAAGTGGGTCCAGATCTTTTCCAAAACCCTAGGATGAGACACTATTCAGAATAAGGTGTGTAATAATCATCCGGGAAGATGTAAAAACCTCCCTTCCCATGGCAAGCACTCAGGACCAGTCTATGGATGTGAGCCACCCCAAGCACCCACTATGAGCTGGTAGAAGGCAGTGTCTTAAATGCTAAGATGATTGTATAAATGTCGCCAGCACACCAGTCCTTTTACGATAGCAAAAGCCTAATTTATTGAAGTTCCTTGTCATCAGACATGTGCACCAGCAAAAAAATTGTTTTGTTTTGATTCAGATTTTGCGTTATTTCGTTTTTTGGGATTCGGGTCCAAAAGTCAATTTGTTTCGGAATTTGGATTCTACTGAAATTCGTTAGCGGAAGCCTGTACAAAATTTTGTTTCAATTTGGTTTCATTTTCATTTTGTTCGTTACACCAAAGTGACATTCAAGAGAAAAAAACAAGTTTTTTTTTTCCTCAAATGTTCATTGCTGCAACGAAATTTCGTCCAACAAACGAAATTTCGTACGTACTACCGCTAACGAATTTCAGAATCGCAAATTCGGATTCGTTTGCATTCGTTATATCTGTAATTTGGAATTTGGATACATCCAAATTCGGAACAAAACGAATCGCACATGCCTACTTGTCATATGAACAAGCGGTTTCGGGACCACACAGGCACCCTTCATCAGGCTTTAGCATCGACATCAATGCTAAAGCCTGATGAAGGGACCCTGTGTGGTCCCGAAAGCGCTTGTTCGTATGACAAAGAACTTCAATAAATTAAGCTTTTGCTATCCTAAAAGGACTGGTGTGCTGGTGTCATTTCTACAATTTGCTGATATTTGCGGCTTAATCCGCAGTAACTGCGAGTACCTCCCACTACAAGGGACTTTTCGGTAAAGAGTGCAACAAGGCTAGTATTTATTGCTTAATTGCTAAGATGCCACCTCTTGAGTTGTGACAACTGCTTCCAGGTAGCATTCTGTAGCTTTAGTCTTACTAAAGGCTATATCTGGTACTGTAAGCGCATATTTTATCTTTGATATTTGAACCCTGTGTATCTAATAATGCATTATGTCCTTTGTGCCCTTTTTCGTTTTTTTCACTCTGAATCCTTGGTACATTAGACATAGGGCAAATATTGCATAAAATTAGTTGCATTTCAAAATCAGTGACTGCAGTTGCACCCTGACCTAGAAACACCTGGGGCATGCTGTGATCCTGTTATGTTACACTGTTTAGTACAGCTTGGATCTTTCCCTTTCTTTGTTATTATCAAAACAACATGACCTGAATGCCACAATTCCTTTCTAATCTGGGAGCTTTGTGAGGTTACATCATTGCTCTGTTCTCTATCTACTATAATGTTTAGTCTTGTGTTTACAGCTGATCAAATCTTGTGCTAGATCCCATGGACTTTCATTTACACTCGTTAGAATGGGAGAAATACAAGAAGTTTCAGGTGGTAGAATATGAATTGTACGCCATGGTAAAACAAGGTTTTTAATATGATTCATTGCATTTCATTGACTGAATGACAAAAAGGTTCTCAACAAAATATGACCATTAATATATAGGTTTTGTTACCAACAGTTAAAAGTAACCAAGGGTGTATGCATATTTAGCCAAGACCTTGGCTAATAAACAGACTTATCTTATCTTGTTACAAATTGAATATCTGGTAAAATACAGTAAACAATAACAGCCAATCAGGTTTAAAGGAGAACTATGGGGGTCAGTGTTTTTCCCCATAGTTCTCCTTCTGGTAACGGGAGGACACAAACTAGCGTCCTCCCGTTACCCTAAGCTCAGTATACCGTGAGCTACAGCTCACGGTATACTGAGACATTGCAGCCGGAGCGGATCCTGACCTGGACGTCGGGATCCGCCCAGCTGCGTGAGTGACAGCTGGCTCTGCCTATCCAGCTGTACCCGCCCCCTCCCCGTCCGTTCTGCCAGTCAGCGCTGGCAGATGGGAGCGGGGAGAGGGGAATCCAGCCCCTCCCCCTGTCACGGCAGAGAGCCGTGACAGGATCGAGAGGTGAGCGAACCCGGTATGTGTTCGCTCACCTCCCGATCTACTGAGCCGACCTGTGACAGTCTCATTGTCACAGGTCGGCTAGAACTATGAGGTGAGTGGAAATCACTCATCTTATAGTTCTCCTTTTAATATATTACTGATCTTCTTACAGTAAAAGGAACTATGGTTGGTTACTGTCTTCGTGCAAAGTCAATTTACTTTGTATTGCCTTATTAAACAAGTCTGAAAAATATAAGCCACAAACTGTACGAGCAGTGAAGATGTCTCGTGTATCTGTGCACAAAAATCAACAGCACAAATAAATTCCCCAGTGCAGTAAAAGCGTGTGTACTCTCTGCTACTTTTCAGGCTGCATCAGCAGCGAATGGGTAAAAAAAGCTTTCAGATGCATCTCAGGAGCTTATAAATCAGCTTTGGTTTAAGCTATCCATCTGCTGTCTTGTATTCCTGTCAGCTCTGAACACACCATTTCAGTGTATTATGATATATATTATTAAATGCAAATGCAGCTAGATTTATTTTGAAGTGGCACCGTGTCCATGTAATCTGTATTGTGCATTTAACAGATACAGTTTGATTTACTTTTACTTTATGTCACATATTACTGTTCTAATAAAGGTATTACAATGAAAGGCCACAAGGCAATGCAAGAAAACACAATTTAAAGGTTAACTCAGTAATTTTAGTTTATTAAATGTAAAGTATTTTTGGAACAATGCAAATGGTATACACTGTGTGTATCCATAGATCTGAAAGACTGCAATGGGGGGAATTTATCAAAACTGGACCAAGCAAAATTTGGAGTGGATTTGCACTGCAACCAACCAGCTTCTATCTCACATTTTCAAATCTTACCTGAGAAAACTGAAGAGAGATGCTGATTGGTTGCCATGTTCAACTGCTCCAGATTCTGTCTGCTCCAGGTTTGATAAATTCCTTCTAATACGTTTCTTATTAATATAAATGACTCTGGCAAAATGTAAAAAAGTGGTGGGAAAACAGTTGGATTCTGGGCACTAACTATGTGATCAATGACTCCTCTAAAAGGTCCTACCTTATATTGTTTATAATGTTGCTCGGAAAGTACAGCTAAAATATAGGTGTGTTTTTGCCAAAGGTTGTTAAACATCTCTATTGCACATTGCCAAATACTGCAGTACATTGCAGTCTGTTCTTTGTTCCCTGTTTACTAAACTTTGCTTTACAATCAGCTGCATGTCATTCATGATCCTATACAGTTAGAAAAGATAATGCCTTAGCAAATCACCGTCCATGGTCCTGAAGTGTTCAGAACTGCTCCTACAAAGTGACAGCACACATGCTATTTTAAAAAGAAAATCTATTATTCAAAAAGCAAACAAACTGTCCCTCACCCCTCTTCTTAAGAGATCCCTTCCTAAAATACCAGCCAAAAGGGGTGAAATCTTCATGGCTAGAGGACTGAGAACATACATACACAGATACATACTTTTAGCACCAGCCAGGTGCTTTGAACGGTCCTTTAATTGGTAATGTGCAGCTTGTAACCCTCTCCTTGTCACACAGGAAAGGGCTAGTGTCAGTGGGCTTTCCTTGACTTCAGAACATCTTCTCTCCCCATACTATTCTAAGGGAATTAAAAATCAGCTTGAAGCAGGTCAACTACAGGTCAAATGCACCTGCAATGAATGATCTCAGAAGAGTTTTAAACTACTGTCAAGCTGCATTTGACCATCATAGCCCATCGACACAGGCATTAAAAGATCCACTGCACCCCTGAGTGGGGCAAACGTGGCTAATAAATGAAAACAAATATGTATTTGAAGCTCAGCCAATGCTCCCCAAATTAAAAAGAAAGAGGTAAGGTAATTATCCTTTCTACCTCAGGTTTCCTTTCATTCAAAGTGTCTAAGGGTATGTTTGTCATCATTTGAGCAAATAACGTTATTGGTCTATTTGACAAAACCCTACCATGTTTATAATTGATAATTTTATAATTGATTTCAAAGCTTTAAAGAAAGCTAAAAACTTATAGCATTCCACAGACTACCAATGAGTACTTTTTCTAAACATGCAAGCTGTCTGCCTGTCACTCTAATGCGATGGCGTAGAGTATAACAATATGAATGTCAGCTAAATTAGACTCGCTCCTCCTTCCAGAATCTTTATAATATAAAATATGTAATATGAGGAGCATCTAGTGAAACATCTGTAATGGCTATGGCTTGTGGGTGTTTACTTTGCAAGGGATGTTCCCTTAGCTTAGTGGATGAAGTAAAGCTCTGCTGCCTTCCATCATCAAATCACGTGCAAACAAAATTACTTTTTTCCCTATATGTAAATTAATGTAATTTTTAAAAGTACAATTTCAACACATAAACTTTCCTTGCAAAGTAAAAATTCTCTTGCAAACTAAACAGCCTATTTGACTTTAGTAAATCAACCCCAGAGACTCTGGTGAGAGTCAACTTCAGGAATTCCTAATATTAAGGAAACTAGTTGATGATTCAGATGACAACTAACAAGACCTTTTATAGTGGCTGTAGAAGCTGACAGTCATGCAATATGAATATGCATGAATGTGATCCAGTTTTAATGCATCTGTATTTTCTTATGAACACTGTATAACGCATTGAGGGAAATTTATTAAAAGTGGAGCAGGCAGAATCTGGAGCAGCCATGATTGTAAGCAATCAGTTTCTAGCTTCAGCTTTGAAAATGTAATCTAGAAGCTGATTGGTTCCCATGCACAGCTGTTCCAGATTCTGCCTGCTCCACTTTCTATACATTTCTCTCATTGTGCTTTTACATTCTCTGTAATATTGTCAAAGTATTGGCCATTAAATCTGCTTTGAAAAATATTGAAAATATATTTTATTTTTGGTGGAACGGTGGAATACCAAAGAGAAGAGTTCCCCTGATCTGGTTCTAAACCCTGACATGTCAAATATAAATACACTGTTTGCAAAAGCAAATTCAATCTTGATCATAATTCATAGTTTTGTCTTAAAAAAATATAATTGTTGGGTTTTTTTCAATACTAGTGAATGCCACAACTCCACAGACAGAATAAAAGTGAGAGTTTGGGATGAAGATGATGATATAAAGTCCAGGATGAAGCAACACTTTAAGAAAGAATCAGATGATTTCCTTGGGCAAACAATTGTTGACGTGAGAACCCTCAGCGGGGAAATGGACGTCTGGTATAACTTAGGTAATGCTGAGCCTTTGAGAAAAAAAATGTCTTGGCATGGTGCCATATTGGGAAAAAAATAAAGTTGTATGTAGCTTGTAGTATGATACTGAATATTACAGCTATTTTAAACCACTTTTGTTGATGTTCACCCTTTATACACTTTCCAAAGCAATTTCCAGATATGCCAGTAATTTGTTTTTGATTTATGATAACAGAAAACAAAGCCTATATTATATTATGACACAAACAACACTTGCATTTGAAAGCATTGGTTTCAAACAATATTTTGTATTTTAAAAGTAAAATTATGTTCCTGGTATAAAGCAGGAAGAAGTTTTTTTTAATTGTATAGTCTTCAACACAACAATGCAAAAACGCGTAAAAATGTTCACACATGCTACACAATATTTTCAAAGGGAATTGGTTAAAAATAGCTGAGGGAAAAAGTCTCAATACTAAGCTCAGATTCAGAAAATAATTGCCTGGCCACCATGGTGGTGAACTTTTCTGCTTTAACACTTTTAATCACACCCAGAGAAAGTATGCAGGTAAGGATTTTTGTTTGGGACAGGCGCTCAGTAAACATTAGCATTAGTTGATCTACATCTGCTAATGGGCCATTGCAATTTAACTTGGGGTCATTGCTGTTCAACTTGTTTATTAATTGAAGTTGGAATTAGGAATTCAATTTCAGTGTTCGCTGACAATACCAAACTATGCAGGGAAATACATTTGGCACAGGGTGTAACAGAGTTACAGGGCAAGCTAGATAAAATCAGGGGTGGGCAGCTATATGACATGCGATTCAATAATGTAAAGTTATGCACTTTGGCATTAAAAATATTTATGCTGCATACTTCTTGAGAGAGGGCTTCTTTGGGTAATTCTATGATGGAAACGGATTTGGGGGTCCTTCTAGATCACAGACATACCAACAAACATGAAATGCCAATCTCCAGCCAACAGCCAGCACAATACACTCTTGAATCAAAAAGGGCATACTGTTTATCTAAGAGATGAACCCATAATTCCATAATTTTATAAAATTATCCATCCAATAATCTTATAAGACTGGTTCAGCTTTATCTTGAACATGCAGTTCAGTTTTGGTCACCAATCCATTGGTAGGAGAATGTACTTGAACTATAAAGAGTTCTGAGATGGACAACAAAATGAATAGGGGTTGCAGGACCTTAGTTATGAACATTTATAAAGATTACATTTATTCCCTCTAGAGAAGAGATGTTTAAGGAGGGATATAATCACAACATATGAATATATTACTTTGATTATGTATAATTTAATATCCTGTTTACTCTAAGGTCCCTAAAGAAGACACATGGCCACAATTTAAGTTTGGATGAAAGGCTGCACTATCCAGAGAATTCCAATACTTCAGACTTTATTGAAATTCACAGCAAATCCAGTGTAACGGTGAATTAAATGTGTAAAGCAGCAAATACCAGCACTGCACACTCCCCAACCAGCTACAACCTCTCACATGTTTCACCCATAGGCTTATTCATAGAAGTAACAAATACAGACCAGTATCTCTCACTTGTTCAAAGCAAGGAATGCTCACTGATGGATTGGTTAACTCTAAACTGGCCATTGTATAAGTGAAAATAGTTTTATACTGTTAGAGCAGTGAAAATGTTAAACTCCCTCCCCAGGAACTGGTATTAGCGGAGAGTGTTGATAAATTCAAAAAACTGTCAGTTATCATCTTCAGTCAATATAATATACAGAGCTATGGGAATTCCAATTTCAATAGGACGCTAATCCACAGATTTATCCAATTGCCAGTATGGTGCCAGGATGGAATTTTAAAGGAAATGGGCCTATGCTTGTAGGGGCTGATTTTGCCTTCCACACAAAGGTTGAACTTGATGTACTGGTGTCTTTTTTAACCTTATAAATAAGTAACTATATAACACATAAAATTCAGTCAGCTGGCATTTTCAGTAGCAGGTTAGCAACGGCAGCTGCAATATTACCTTCATAACACATTTACTATAAATATTGGTAAAATGGGGTTTAAAATAGCTGTATAATTTTAAAAATGCTTCTATCAGCAATAAAGTGCTACGAGAGATGCTGCATATGTCATATACTGCAGCAGCTTTCATTTCCACCTCTATAACCAAATGTTAAACTTGCCAGCTCCTTCTCATAGGCAAATAGGTCACGGGCTCTGGCATGTTTCACCAAAAGGCTTAATCATAGAGCTCTAATAGCTCTAGAGCGAATGTGAGCAATGGCCTTTTCCCAAACCTTTCTGTTAGGTCCCGAGTCCAGTTACTTTGTGATGCACAAACCTCATCAAGTAAAATACAATTTCCTTTACCTCTCCTGAGTGAGGCAAATTCTCCTTCATTTGCGCCTTACAGACTCTCTCTCCCAGATACTGCAGCTCACAGGGGCAGAATTTCGGCAACAGAGGCAGTGCTGTCAATCCTGAAAGCAGTAGGCAGGACTAGGTGTGGGCAGGTGCTGAATGATATGAAAGCCACATCCCCTGCAACAACTTCTCATCTCACTCTAATGCAAGCAGGCATGAGGGTGACAACACTGATCTGAATTTAGGAAGAGTGCAACAGTGTTGTCACCCCTTTACAAGAAGCTACTGTAAATGAGGCAGATTTCGCTGACAGGATCAACAAGTATTTGTGAAACTTTGTAGGGGGATTAATTGTAAACTGTAAGTGCAGATGTACCAGCAATTAAATACTGCAGCACAGGTATGTTTAATAGAATTCCATAGTTCTATTTTGAGGACAGTGGTCCAGGATAATTCAATGTAGAAAACCCATAAAAAAAACATTGACCTAGTAGTATTTTTAACTGTTGCATATTGATGCAATGATGCATTTTGGACTCCCATGACCAAAACACAGCTAGACTTTGATGTATCCTTGTAAGGTAGAAACTACCTATCCCTAAATGATACAAGCATCTTTTCATTACATAGCATTCTTTAGACTACAAAATATGATTGCTCAATTCTGCTATTGAAACATATAAATGTAGATTGTGAAGTTTGGTGATTACTGGCAGTTACGTTCAATGGATCAGTAATCTTTCGGTCCATTTAATATGTGGTGTGTGTAATCCATGTACCAAAGCATTTTCCCCTGCATATCACTGTGTGTAAGGTCTTTTGAGGTAGGACAGGTCTTATTTTATTATAGTTTCATGCTGGATTATACAGTATGTGAAAAGTTCTGGCAATTCCTTTGCAAAACTAAGGATATTAAAAATATCCTGTACAGTGTTAGTGTTTTGTTATATTTCTGCAGTTGGGTGGTGTTTTGCCCATGTAGTGATCTGTAAAAAGAAACCACTCTAGTCTTATACATTTCCCCAGACAGTAACTGACCTGGTGGTACAGCTAGATAAAGAGACAGACAAACAATCATTATTTTGCTCAGTACTGCTGCTGCCAAGGTTATTGCTTCTTTAAAATTTATGTCTGAAGCAAAATCAAAAATAATAATATTTCCACATATTTTTATATTTCCTTGCTGATCCAAGGTAGGTCTAAAGGCACTCACACATCATGTACTGGAGACAAGTCAAATCATCAGCATTTTATTGCCAATGTTTTGATGGCACTCAGTCTGTCTTTATCAAGACCTATATTTTAGTTGCTGGGTTACTGACAACAGCATTTCTTGTGATGTTTAGAAGCTGGTAGCTTATGGGTATATATGGTTGAATAGATACATGAATGACTTTGTTATTATAAAAGCCAAATATCCTGCAAAAATGCACACATCTCATTTACCATTTTCTTCATTTTTTTTTAGACATTTGCTGTTTTGTAAAATTGTTAAACATTTTGCTGCCTGCAAACATGGGGAGGCATGCATCTGCTCACCTTCAGTTTACTCTGGTCTTCCAGAAGATTTAGCATTTGGCACATTGAATTAACTTACATTTTTTAACAGAGACAAGAAATAGTCTAGCAACCATTCCAGGTATGGCCATGAAATATTCATTTAATGGAATTAAGTTTGAGAGCGAAAAAAATGATATGTAGGTCATGGAAGCTGCAGAAGATATACAGATAAATTATGTAACAGAAAGGGTTTGGTAAGGATATGTGTTTGCTGTGCAATTTATCATATTATCTGAGTGGATGTGTTATTTGAAGCTATAACATAATAACACAACTTTAAAAACTGTCATTACTGTCATCCCGCTGTTAAAGACGGACCTCTAATAAATGTATCAGTTGGAACATCGAATGGGATTATATAGCAAATCAGCCCTGTTTGGTAAACGTTTAACAGCAGTACAATTCAATGGTGCAGTACAATAGTATATACAGCAATGCCAAATTCAGATCTGTCAAAGAGGAAATTGATTGGGTACCATTAGTTACCGCAATTGAGTGTGTACCTGTGTGTACCTTAACCACTTCAAGACCAGGTGTTTAGACCCCCTTCCTGGCCAGGCCATTTTTCAGTGTTCAGCGCTGCAGTACTTTGACTGACGTTTATTCCGTCATGCAACGCTGTACTGAAATTAATTTTATACCATTTTTTAGGGACAGATAGAGCTTTCTTTTGGTGGTATTTAATCACCACTGAACGGACTCCTCCCCCCTTCGTTAGCCGACAGCCACTTGTGGAAGGGGGAGGAGTCCGGTGACGTCGATGTCCGTGACGTCACCGGATCACCGACGGAAGACCAGGAAGCCCGCGGAGAGGTGAGTACGGAGCCAAAGAACTTTGATCGATCAAAAAAATTAACGATTAATCGAGGGATTAATCGTTAATTTCTGCAGCCCTAATATATATATATATAATCATTTTCTTCACCATATAATGTAGGTCCTTGTATCGTATGTTATTGTTAGCTGTAGAGAGACTACATTATACAACAATGCAGAAAGGCACTGGCTATGGAGGACTACAAATACCAGCAATACATTATACAGCAGTGCAGAATACCACCAACTATAGAGGACTATAAATCCCAGCAATACATTGTACAGCAATGCAGAATACCACCGGTTATAGAGAACTACAAATCTCAGCAATGTAGTAAGGCACCAGCTATAGAGAACTACAAATCTCAGCAATACATTATACAGCAATGCAGAATACCATTATCTATAGAGGGCTACAAATCTCAGCAATACATTATACAGCAATGCAGAATACCACCGGTTATAGATGACTACAAATCCCAATAATACATTATACAGCAATGCAGAATAACATAGAGCTACAAACTCAGGGTCTCACCAGGGCTGCCTGCGGGTTTAAGCAGGGCTGTACGGGCGGGTGCGGATCTCACCATGGCTGCGTGCGGGAGGTGGACTAGCATTGTAAAAGACAGCTGCTGCAGGTTGCCCTAAGGTCACCAGCAAACACAGGTATCGGCACTTCGTATCGAGGTATTTTGGAGTACAAGTAATCATGACAATGCCCAGTATTGCCATTGATACTGGTATCAGTGCATCCCTATTACCTATATACAATACTATTATTAAATATTGTCATGTTCTTATATAATTTATAAGTCTAAATATTTTATATAATTTATCCCATAAAAAAAAATCAAAAATATATCTAAAATACTAGAAAATGGAGTTCCAGCTGCTTTTCCCACCCAGAGCACTATAGTAGTCCATGGTGCCCTATGGTGCCCCGAGCAATTCCAGTCCTGATAATGAGGGACTCCTTCAAAACGTATTTAGCTGTAAACCTATCTTAGGAAGGATAACTTATCAACTGGAGAACAGCAGGGGGCATGTTTATTATTTATCCTTAAACCACTAGGGCAGGGATGGGGAACTTCCGGCCCTACAAATCCCATGATGCATCTGCCTCTGGGAGTCATGCCTATGGCTGCGAGAGTCTCGCAATGTCTCATGGGATTTGTAATTTGACCACAGCTGAGGGGGTTCGGAGGTTCCCCACCACTGCACTAGGGGCGGCAGAGAAGAAGCAAGAGGGGTACACACAGCCCTTAAAACTTGTTCAATATGTGTTTTAAATTGATATAACAGCAATTATATATGGGAACGATGACACCATATAGTGTTTATCTAAATATGTATGTAAAGCGCCATACCTATGATGATTTATAGCCATCATTCACCCTTATACGTTCCCTCAAACAGACAACAACATCAAAATAACCGCACAAAGGGTTAACCAACGCAGTAGCCTTTACAAGTGACAGTTGGTTGAAGCATCTGAAGGCAGCAGTTTACCCAGCAGTACGGGGGAGGGGCACTGCAATAGGTAACATTTGTTCAAAGTCATTACGATATAACTTCCATGTTTACAATCTTGCTCTTCCATTGATTTTTGGTGTCAGATAAAGTGATTTGTAGATTAACCAGTAGATGGAGCAGACACTCAATTTCCAATCACACTGCTTGATTATTTATAGAGTGTCTAAACCACGTGTAGGCAACCTCAGTGATACTAGAAAATCCTATCTTCCCTTTGCCTCCTAGAGTCACGTCTGCAGCTATCAGAGTCTTGAATTGCCAATACCTCCGTTTATTGATGTCCCATTAAAGGAGCCACATAGGAAATATAGATATAGATCTATATATATTGTGGCAGTGCATGGCAATGCCGCGACGTAGCATGGCAACATTGGCACCCAGGACTCTCAGCCAAAGGGGCTGAGAGGGTCCAGAATGTAAACATTGTTATAAGGAAGAACCTGGCCTTTCAGATTCTTCCAGGTTTTCGGAATTGTAACTGGGATCTGGAGCTCTGGAGATTTCGTAGAGCTCTGGGTGGGATGAGATCTCCAGTCCTATGAAATGACAGTTGGAATTGGAAAGTGGCCTAAGTCTGTTTTCTCTGATTGCTTTCTCTAGGCTGATCTCCATACTCTTCATTGCTTATAAAGAAACGTCAATAAAATATGTGGAAATTTCCATCCAGATGGAGCTAATTCATCTCTTATTATAGTTGACAGTGCTGTTTTTTTCAGCATTTAGAAACAACCAATAGAAAGCCAGGTTTCGGAGGACACACCTTGTTGCTGCTACACTGTGACATAACAGCATCAGTGTAGGAGGGTATGAATAGACCAGCAGCCTCACTGATCCTCAGAGAGGAGTTTTCCTTAGTGCTGTGTGCTGCAGTTCGCTGTATGTGCTCTACAATGAGTGGCTCTAAGATTGTGGTTGCCTTATTCATTCTTTTCTGTTGGCAGATCCCCACAGCGGGGGGGTTTGTTATTTCGGAAGAGGAGATCAAATATAGCAAGGTTTCATGCCCTGCTATTCCATCTTTTGATACTGTGGCATATGCCACAGACATGAATATTGAGCTGCCTTGCCTGTGCATGCCAGATACAAAGACGCCTGTTATTTGGTATTATAAAGACACATTACGCAGTTTAAATACCAAACTGCTGACGACACCAGCTGGAAAAGCAGACGATTATGTGTCGCTCCATCTAGAGTCCAAGATCATCACCAGGTTTTATAGCTTGATCGTTCAGAAGGCTCGTGTAAAAGACTCAGGTCTCTACATCTGCGGAAGCAGTGATGGGCAATTCTACTGGGGGTATGATGTTGATATACAAGATTTCTCAAATGCTTATGTGGAATTTGAAGACCACCATCAACACCCTCAGCCAAACCTTGTCTCTGACCAACTGACAGCTTTCACTTCCTTTTGGGAATGGAGTCAGTGTGACCGCTGTGATGTTCGTGGGGAGCAACAAAAAGTTGGCCTTTGTTATGTCAGCAGTACCTATCTTGATCTAAGGTACCGGCTAACAGAGACCGGTGTTGCTTCCTGCGGCTCAGACGCTGTACCTCCAAACTTGAAAGAGCAGATTTCTTGGCGCAGACCTGAAATATTCTTCCGGAACTGCGAGACCCCCTGCCACAACAGGAAAGCAGGGGTTCTGGGCACAATTAAGTATTGGCTGCATAAACTGAACAAAATCAAGGATTACATCCCTTGGCTTCCCAAGGCTCCAACAGAACAACATACTCACACCTTGGGAAGCAGCCTTACTCTTGCCTGCCCAGGTGCCAAACCCCAAGATGCTGTTTCTTGGGATAAAGGCAACATAAACTTGTACAAGTCAGACTACTTCATTGGACAAGAGATGGCCAAAAGAATCTACATAGACCACGGCAATAATCTGAACTTCCGTTATGTCACTTTCAATGACAAAGCCACCTATTACTGTTGGTTGAAGGGACAGCTTCAAGCTGGCATTAAGCTGCTCATTACGACTGACCCGATACACCAGAGGAAGTTCACCGATGCAGAATCCTACCTTGCCCTGAAGATTATTGCCTACAGTTTTTGCATTTTTATCTCAATCTTTGTGGTTGTCCATTGCGTTAAATGCTTTGTCTACAATTTTAGGTGTTTCCCATGCATCTAAAATTAAAGCAACAGACATACCTCACAATAAGCAAGCGGCAGCCTCAGAAGATGGGATGTAGTGGCGCCATTGCTTAAAATGCTGTCTCTACCATTTTAGGTGTTTCCCATGAAGCTACAACTAAGGCAACATGTAGCAAGTGGCAGCCTCAAAAGAAAGATGCAATGGCGAGGCCTTTGGATATTGCCCTATGAAGTAAGGCGTTCAAGCTGGCATTCAACTGGCAGACTGGACAGAAAAGAGGAAGTTCACCAATGCAGGTTTCTTCCCCACCACAAGGAGCCTTGCAAGAAAGTCATAGAATGCTATCTTCAACCTTCATCTCACTTCTAAGATCCATCATCCCTCTTCTAAGAGGGAATCTACAAACAATGGGCAGCTGGTGGAGATTCTATGCTACCAGAGTCTAAAAATACATGCCAGCTGCTAATGTACTTTCTATGGATTCAATTCAGTTTGAATAAAAATGATTACATTTTATATATAAGTCTTAACAGTGTTTGTAGTACTGAAAATTCCCATTAAGGTTTCTTTGTACTTGTACTGAATCAAATGTTCGGGATGTTAGTATTCCCCGATATGGAGTTGTATCTCTTCTTGCAAAATTTCTAGGGCAGAAGAACACAACTAACAATTCTTTAGAGTAGCACTACCACTGAACCCCAGAGGAATTCTAAATAGAGTGTTTTTTTGTGTTCTCCTATAGTGGTGGGCAGTAGGTGCAGGAGAGGAGTATAAAGGGTATGATAGTGGGCAGTATAAGCAGGAGAGGAGTGTGAAGTGTATAGTGGTGGTCAATAGGTGCAGGAAAGGAGTGTAAAGGGTATGATAGTGGGCAGTATAAGCAGAGGAGGAGTGTGAAGGGTATAGTGGTGGTCAGTAGGTGCAGGAGAGGAGTGTAAAGGGTATGATAGTGGGCAGTATAAGCAGGAGAGGAGTGTGAAGTGTATAGTGGTGGTCAGTAGGTGCAGGAGAGGAGTGTAAAGGTTATGATAGTGGGCAGTAAAGCAGGAGACGAGTGTGAAGGGTATAGTGGTGGGCAGTAGGTGCAGGAGAGGAGTGTAAAGGGTATGATAGTGGGCAGTATAATCAGGAGAGGAGTGTGAAGGGTATAGTGGTGGGCAGTAGGGGCAGGAGAGGAGTGTAAAGGGTATGATAGTGGGCAGTATAAGCAGGAGAGGAATGTGAAGGGTATGATAGTGGGCAGTATAAGCAGGAGAGGAATGTGAAGGGTATGATAGTGGGCAGTATAAGCAGGAGAGGAATGTGAAGGGTATGATAGTGGGCAGTATAAGCAGGAGAGGAATGTGAAGGGTATGATAGTGGGCAGTATAAGCAGGAGAGGAATGTGAAGGGTATGATAGTGGGCAGTATAAGCAGGAGAGGAATGTGAAGGGTATGATAGTGGGCAGTATAAGCAGGAGAGGAATGTGAAGGGTATGATAGTGGGCAGTATAAGCAGGAGAGGAATGTGAAGGGTATGATAGTGGGCAGTATAAGCAGGAGAGGAATGTGAAGGGTATGATAGTGGGCAGTATAAGCAGGAGAGGAATGTGAAGGGTATGATAGTGGGCAGTATAAGCAGGAGAGGAATGTGAAGGGTATGATAGTGGGCAGTATAAGCAGGAGAGGAATGTGAAGGGTATGATAGTGGGCAGTATAAGCAGGAGAGGAATGTGAAGGGTATGATAGTGGGCAGTATAAGCAGGAGAGGAATGTGAAGGGTATGATAGTGGGCAGTATAAGCAGGAGAGGAATGTGAAGGGTATGATAGTGGGCAGTATAAGCAGGAGAGGAATGTGAAGGGTATGATAGTGGGCAGTATAAGCAGGAGAGGAATGTGAAGGGTATGATAGTGGGCAGTATAAGCAGGAGAGGAATGTGAAGGGTATGATAGTGGGCAGTATAAGCAGGAGAGGAATGTGAAGGGTATGATAGTGGGCAGTATAAGCAGGAGAGGAATGTGAAGGGTATGATAGTGGGCAGTATAAGCAGGAGAGGAATGTGAAGGGTATGATAGTGGGCAGTATAAGCAGGAGAGGAATGTGAAGGGTATGATAGTGGGCAGTATAAGCAGGAGAGGAATGTGAAGGGTATGATAGTGGGCAGTATAAGCAGGAGAGGAATGTGAAGGGTATGATAGTGGGCAGTATAAGCAGGAGAGGAATGTGAAGGGTATGATAGTGGGCAGTATAAGCAGGAGAGGAATGTGAAGGGTATGATAGTGGGCAGTATAAGCAGGAGAGGAATGTGAAGGGTATGATAGTGGGCAGTATAAGCAGGAGAGGAATGTGAAGGGTATGATAGTGGGCAGTATAAGCAGGAGAGGAATGTGAAGGGTATGATAGTGGGCAGTATAAGCAGGAGAGGAATGTGAAGGGTATGATAGTGGGCAGTATAAGCAGGAGAGGAATGTGAAGGGTATGATAGTGGGCAGTATAAGCAGGAGAGGAATGTGAAGGGTATGATAGTGGGCAGTATAAGCAGGAGAGGAATGTGAAGGGTATGATAGTGGGCAGTATAAGCAGGAGAGGAATGTGAAGGGTATGATAGTGGGCAGTATAAGCAGGAGAGGAATGTGAAGGGTATGATAGTGGGCAGTATAAGCAGGAGAGGAATGTGAAGGGTATGATAGTGGGCAGTATAAGCAGGAGAGGAGTGTGAAGGGTATAGTGGTGGGCAGTAGGGGCAGGAGAGGAGTGTAAAGGGTATGATAGTGGGCAGTATAAGCAGGAGAGGAATGTGAAGGGTATGATAGTGGGCAATATAAGCAGGAGAGGAGTGTGAAGGTTATGGTGGTGAGCAGTAGGTGCAGGAGAGGAGTGTGAAGGATATGATAGTGGGCAGTATAAGCTGGAGAGGAGTGTGAAGGGTATAGTGGTGAGCAGTAGGCACAGATAACCATGACAGTTTTTGCTAAAGAAGGTGTGTGGAGGGGCCAGTATATATAGGAAAGGATTGTGGAAGGTATGGTGGTGTGGAAAATATGAGAGCAAAGGAGAGGACTAAAGAGGGTATAAGAGGGGCAAGTATGTGCAGGGGAAATGTATTGAGGATATGATTGTCTTAGTACAAATTGGTAAAAAGGACAAAGTTACATGAATATGGAGAGTCCTAAAGAACAGTTTCACAGAATTAGGTACCAAGCTGAACAAATGAACCTCCAAGGTAGTAGTACTATTTACTGAAAAACTGCCAGTGCTGCAAGCCACACCAAAGAGGCAGAATGAGTTCAGGGAGGTTTTGGGTTCATGTAGAAATGGATCAACTTCTCGGTCAGCTACCGCCGGTTCTACTGCAGGGACCTTAATCGGGAGGGTGCATCTCTGCTGGGGGAGAAAATGGCTAGAAAGTCATAAAGAAGACAGCGTGGAAACATTATTAGCAAAAAATATTGTAAATCTTTGACAGCCAAATTATAATATAAGAACAAGAAATAATTAACTGCTAGGTGATAAAGCAAGAATATGAGGTATGTACATAAGTGTACACAAATGCAAGATACCTGGCAAATAAATAAATAAAATGGATGAATATATAAGCCTGGATAGACTGCTCACAGGCCTTGGCTGCAAATATCCGGGGTACACTTTCTTTAAGAGCTAAGAAATAGGGCTCAAGTGAGGTATTATGCAGGACTTCAACTATCCAGACATTGATTGCACAAATGGTATTGCACATTCAACTTAGGCTAGTCAGTTCCTGAACACACTACATGATAATTTTACGAGACAAGTGGTAAAAGCCCCATGTAGGAAAAATGATTTGCTCGATCTGGTGATTTCTGATAAAACAGAGCTAATTGCAGATGTAAGAATTAGGGACAACTTAGGCAGTGACCACAAAGCACAGTGCTTCAAAAAGCAGGAATGATCCCAAATAGTTTTAAAAATATATCAATTGTAAAAGGTTTAGATCTGTATGAGTAGGCCCTTTGAAGGACAACTATGTGACTTTGGTCCCAAATGACTTGGATAAGGCTAATATGTAAAAATTTTTGTATCAGTATACACACACACAAAAAAAAATTATAAGGGGGAATAACAATGCTATCACCAATGTAAGAGATGCAGCATGTGGTTGTCAAAAAACAGGGTTTGAAACAGGCTAAAGGAGTCAGCAGGGCCTGAGAACTTACAGCTGGAGTACTCAAGGAGCTCAGCGATAAGGTGCCCATACACTCTACAACCCTCGCAAGACTTTTGTCTTGCGAGGGTTGTAAAGTAATTAAAAAAACGTACGATCTGCCCATCTTGGACAGGCAGATCGTACTTGCGATCATCGCAAGCCCGCCCCCCTGTGGGGCGGGCTTCCGATAACTGCAATGCTGAACGGGCAGTGTGCGAGTGCGCACACTGGCCCATTCGGCAGTGATCTCTCGATCATGTTAAAAACCAGCCGAAAATCGTACAATTCTCGGCTGGTTTTCCAACATGCTCGATATACAAAAGTCGTGCAACCCTACATTAGAAACGGTCGCACGCCTTCCATACACTGCACGATTCTCGTACGATCGCGGGATTTCCCGTGATTCTCGTACGAGAATCGTGCAGTGTATGGGCACCTATAGTGATAGCCAAGCCACTCTTCCTGTTTTTAAGACTCCTTAATGACTGGAATGGTACTGACTGGCATAAAGCAAATTTGGTCTCAGGGTACGTTCACACGGAGGGGGCGTGGCGGGCCATTGAAATGAATGGCACCATAGCCACGCCCTCTGGCCGCAATGCGATCGCCCGCTCGGGATTGCAGGGCACATTGTGCCTGCGTTCCGGTCCGGTGCGCTCAAAATGCTGCAAGCAGGAATCGGGCCAGAACGCACTGCATATGGTGTGAACGTACCCTCAATATTCAAAAAAGGGTCTAGATATGTACAGTACCAGGGAACTAGAGACCAGTCAACCTAACATCAATAGTTTGTAAGGTGTTCAAGGGAATGCTGAGGCATTCTATTGAAGATTTTGTTTGGGAAAATGGTATTATATGTAATGATTAACATG